CCCGGGGCTCGAAAATCACTGCAGATGGTGACCGCAGCCAAGAAATTAAAAGACGCTTGCTCCTTGGAAGAAAAGCTATGACAAACCTAGACAGTGTATTACAAAGCAGAGACATTACCTTGCCAACAAAGGTCCGTCTAGTCAAATCCACGGTTTTTCTAGTAGTCATGTATGGATGTAAGAATTGGACTATAAAGAAAGCTGAGAGCTGAAGAATTGATGCTTTTGAACTGTGGTGCTGGAGAAGACTCTTGAGAGTCCCCTGGACAGGAAGGAGATCAAACCAGTCAATCCTAAAGGAAATCAGTCCTGAATATTCATTGGAAGGACTGAGGCTGAAGCTGAAGCTCCAATACTTTGGCCACCTGGTGTGAAGATCTGACTCATTGGGAAAGATGTTGGATGCTGGGAAAGACTGAAGGCAGGAGAAGGGGATGAAAGGATGAAATGGTTGGATGACATCACCGATTCGATGGACATGTGTTTGAGTAAGCTCTGGGAGTTGGTGATGGACAGGGAAGCTTGGCGTGCTGCAGTCCACGGGGGTCACAAAGAGTTTGACACGACTGAGAAACTGAACTGAATGACTCTTGGATATAATAACCACATACTGACTGCCACACCCTAAGTCAGGACAATTAGAAGGCAATCTGAAGCAATGTCCTAACCCCTCTAAGGAGAAGAAAGAAGATACAAGAAACCCAAGGACTGAGAATTCTGAGAGAACTATTATGCAAGCGCCTATGTAAACATTATGAACTCCTTTAGCTGTGTTGCTGCCTGGAATTAGAACAGTGCTTTGTTGAGAAACAATATAATCCCCCAATTGTGCACATGTGTAGAGTACCTGTAACTCCAGCCCTCAGCTCAGCCTTTTGTCAGGAGAATGAGGAACTGGACCTCCAGTAAAGAACCTGAAGAGAGACCTAATATACCTGTTTTCATTAGTAATCATTCTTCTCCTATGAAGAAGATGGTATCACCCAGAAAGTACCTAAAATCTAAAATCAAAACCAATTCAACCTCACCTTAACTAGAATGTGAAGTTTCCTAGAAGGTATTACTCTCTCCCTTTGCCCCCCAAATAAGGGTACCTCGTGCATTTTTGTTCTACATGTGAAGCTCTGTTAACATTTGAGACTCAGCTCAAAATGTTAACATTTTGAGTGTGTGGCAGTCAGTTAAAGCAAACCCAGCATTAAGAATCTCAGGTTTCTTTTGTAGATAAGAGTCTATTAACTTCAGCTGGTATCTAAGTAGTTTCTTAAACAACTCTCCAGTGTAAAATCCAGTATCTGGTAGTTTCACTTGGCTTTAAACCAGAGGAGAGCCAAGGAATAAATGTAAGAGAACAGAGTCCCCCTAAATCAATGTCACAGCATTGTCACAACAATATCATGATGTTGGGCTCCTCCCGTTTACTGATAAGAGTAAATCTAAGAGTCTATTAATTCTCTTGACACAGGATTATTGGACTTCTATGCCTGAAACAGATTAGAAGAAACAAAGGAATGAAAGAACCTGCCATAGGCAAGTACAAAACTATAATTAGAATGAATGACTAAAAATTTGGGAGTTCATCAGTGTGAGGCCATTTCATATGGGATAAACAATCGTATGCTATAAAAACCTGAAGCAATTACTGTAGTTTCCATAGAACTACAGTCAACAGTCATAATAGTGCATGTTAGCTAACCTCATGAGTGACAATCAACATGGGACAGGTCATCAAGAATTTACGGGTATCCAATATTCTCTATTCAGAGAAGGCAATGGCACCCCACTCCAGTACTCTTGCATGGAAAATCCCATGGACGGAGGAGCCTGGTGGGCTGCAGTCCATGGGGTCGCTAAGAATCGGACACGACTGAGCGACTTCACTTTCACTTTTCACTTTCATGCATTGGAGAAGGAAACGGCAACCCACTCCAGTGTTCTTGCCTGGAGAATCCGAGGGATGGGGTAGCATAGAGTCGGACACGACTGAAGTGACTTAGCAGTAGCAGTATTCTCTATTATCAAATTGAGGATGTAAATAATACACAGTAGAAAAAGTTCTACTAAAAAGTATTGTCAATGCAATTAAAATCATACAGCACTAAAAGAACAAATTAGCTATCCCTAAAATTGGGCTGTCCATTCCTGAGGGGTTACAGATTGCTTTAGAATTACAGACTTGCTGGGAGATCCCTGATGGCCCAGTGGTTAGGATCCTGTGGTTTCACTGCTGTGATGTGGATTCAATCCCTGGTCCGGGAGCTGAGATACCACAAGCCACATGGTGCAACCAACAGAATAAAGGGTTACAGACTTGCTGAAGTTATTATTGGAAATCTCAGAATATGTGGTCAACTACTGATGTTCCTCAACCAACAAGCCATGTATCATCTGGAACCATTTCCCACATTGCCCATGGCAAGGGAAGATGGTTATATTATCTTTCCACAGTCCCACATCAGACGTGTAAATAATCAGGAGTTGACCCTTAAGTAATAGTTGATAGATGGGTACGGATTGATGCTTTTCCACAGGAAACTACTTTTTTCATACGGAAAACTACAAAATAATGAAATAGCAGTAAGTCATTTGCATGTCACCATGAATCAAGTTGGCAAATGAAAGAATCAGATTTGCTTGAACACAAGAACAGATACGAGGTAATTCTGTATTAGTGAACCATAGAAAGCACCTCTAATCATGGCAGAGCATCTGAGTGACATCTGGGTTTTTCTTTTCAAATTTGCAAGTTATTTTTCCAAAACATGGGGATGGATAAAATCTAAAATGTGTTTTGCCAAATACTTTGCATCACTGTCTTTGAACTCATGTCTCATTTTGTAGTTTAAACCTTGAGGGAAAGGGCCTTGTTTTTCTTATTCTTACATCCCTGGTATATGCCAAAGCACATACATATATACAATCATACATACATAAATGCAGAATATAAGGAAAATGGAATGTATATTTGATTCTCTTAAAATGGAAATAAAAGGTGATGAGCTTTGTGGCTTCTAAGAAGTCTCTTAATCGCTTAGATCACCAAGGTTTTTAAAAGTTTTTTTGTTTGAATCTAGAAGGGATATTAAGTAAAAAGTGTATGCATGCTAAGTCACCTCAGTCCCATCCCACTCTTCATATCCCCATGGCCTGTAGCCTGCCAGGCTCATGTGTCCATGGAATTCTCCAGCCAAGAATACTGGAGTGGGTTGCCATGCCCTCCTCCAAGGATCTTCCTAACCCAGGGTTAGTACCAGAGGCTCCTGCAGTTCCTGCACTGTAGGTGACTTCTTTACTGAACAATAAATGTTTCCAAGGCTGTTCCAGGTCTTTGCTCAAAACCCATGCCCAGTAAATAAATAACAAAATTAAAGAAATTAGGAGAGCCTGACATTATGACCCCCTAAACAACTGATGGGGGTTTCCCTGGTGGCTCAGTGGTAACACTGAAATGCAGGAGACTCAGGTTTGATCCCTGGGTCTGGAAGACCCTGGAGGAGGAAAGGGAAACCCATTGCAGTATTCCTGCTTGGGAAATGCCATGGACAGAGGAGCCTGGTGGGTTACAGTCCATGGAGTCGCAAAGAGTCGGACAAAACTTAGGGACTAATCCACTACCACCACCACATCAGTGGCCATTGTACAGGAGGAGTGTCCTAGGTCAAAGCCTGCCCACTCACTCCACACTGCCTTTAGCAGGAATGAACACACAGGTTTAAGTTCAAGGGTCCAGAGATAAGAAAGGAAGATACAAACAAGAAAGCAGATGGAACCAGCTGGGACTAAGATGGCATGAATCTGACCTCCAACAGGTCTTGAGTCTCATACGTCAATTTTACATTAGCTTAGTATATGACACACCTACTGGCTGCTAGGACCAGACATTAAAGATCAAAAAAGGATAAAAAGGGGGTGGCACCCCACTCCCTTGGAAAAAGGCCTGACCCTTCAGGGTAAATTAATGCAAGCTGATGCTGCTGCTAAGTCAATTCAGTCGTGTCCGACTCTGTCGCGACCCCACAGACAGCAGCCCACCAGGCTCCCCTGTCCCTGGGATTCTCCAGGCAAGAATACTGGAGTGGCTTGCCATTTCCTCCTCCAAACTAATGCATAAGTGTCCCTATTATTAGCCTCACTCCTCCTCCCTTTGTTTTTATTCTTTTTTTTTTTTTTATTCTTTAAATCACTGTCGCCCACCTGCAGGGTCAGAAATTGATTTTTGAACACAATTTCTGCTTAGTCATTCTTTGGCCACTGAGTAAGGCTTGCGCTTTGTCCATCTCAGATTGAGTTTCTTATTCACCTACTGGAACCCCAATGGAAAAAAAAGAAAAGAACCCTCCCTTAAGGGGGCAGGGAGCAGGGTCCAAACGACTTAATTTGGTAACAAACAAATTTCAAAACATAAACAATTTATAGATTGGAAGGCTGGACTCACTTATCTTAATTACCTACAAAACATAACAGATACTAATGTTAAGTTGCATTCATTAGCTCCTCTGACTTACTAGAAGCTTCTATGGGAAATTTCAAACACCTTTTTTCTCACCTGCATCTCCTTGTTTGCAGTAGATTCCGCACTCTGCTCTCCCGTAATGATCAGCCACTTGCTTGCAATTATCCTCTGGAAAAGGATGGAAACACAACTGAGGAACAGAGGCATCTGAAGGCGGAAACGGAACCACCCCAGTGTGGTCAGGAGAAGAGCAACTCTGACGACATCGCCTGGAAGTTTCCAGCCTCTTAGTGGCCTGGAGAAGATGGAGCCATCCCGCCCAGAGGTGCAGCCTGAAGGCTGTGAGGCCTCTCCTCCGTACTCCCTGGAAAGCCTGTCGAAGAAGCACTGTCAGAACCAGGGGAATCTCCTCCACTTTGACCGGCAAGCACCTGGCCGCTTGTCCACCTCGCCCACTTTGCGGAGGTTAAGGAGCCGCGGCTGCGGGAGTGTGCGCGGAGGTGCGCGCGGCACTGCCACTGCGCATGCGCCGCCCCCGCACGTGGCCTTGGAAGTGCGCCCCGGGGGCGGCTCGCAGGAGTCGCCTGGCTCCGCGAGTCCCCTTACCAACAAGGTATGTGAAAGCGCAGAGGAGTCTTCTCACTGCCTGTGGGCCCTGAGACTCCACTCAGGATTGCCTCTGGACTCTGAAAGGGCCCTCGACGCAGCTGAGTCGGTTGAGCTCCAAATGGGGCCTGGTGAAGAGCGTGCCGTTCCCGTGCCTCAGCACCTCGAGGAGGGGTCGCTTCCTCAGGCCTCCTTTCCGCGGAGAGGAGACCACCCAGCCCCCAGCCACACCCCAGGACCTCCCGGGCCTCAGGTAACACAGCGTTAAGCTTCTTGCCTCTCACTTGGTGAATGCAAAGCATACTAGGTCTTCAGGTTGCCAAACGTGCGAGGATGGGGGGCAAGGCTGCGGCGCCTCCTTGAGGGAGCCAACGCAGAAAGTCATAGAGCTGGGGAACACAGAGTCTTTAGGACAGCTGGCTGTCAGGTAAAAGGAAGGGGTGCACCGGTTTGGGGCAGGAGACGGAGGTCGAGCTCACTTTCTCCTTCAGTATCCTTGAAGGCACTTGAAGAAAGGACCCGAATTAGAAATGGTCATTCAGGCATTAGAGAGTAAAGGTGGCTCTCTTGCAAGTCCAGGCTGTGTGAAGACCACCAGGCTTGGCTGGTTTAAAAGGGCAGAAAGAACAAATTATTCAGATTTCTAATGTTCTAACTTTCTCCCCAAAGAGAGAAAACTCCAAAACGTTAATAACTGGGGAAGTTCATGACCTCTCCCTTCAAGATGTCTTGGAATTTTGGATGGGTTTGAGCAAGACTAAAACGTGTATTTTTCCAATTTATTTCAGAGAGAAGAATTGCATCAGTACAGGTATGTGTGTCTTTACTTTTCTCCAGTGCTATGAAAGCTGTTGACTTTTTACTTTTTACATCTTCTGTTCTGACATAGCAGACCCAATGGTGTATTAATCAGGGTACTTTTGTTTTACAGCCCCTGAGTCACTCTTCGTATTATGGGTGAAACAGTATCAATTTCCAGAGTCTCCTTTAAGAGCCCAGCATTTTGCTATGGCTGGGGTATTTGTGGGTAGGGTATGACAGCCACAAGTGGCCGTGGTTTTCATTTTCAATTGTCAATGACTTGGCCTTGTGGTTTAATTAACATCCAAGTAATAGTTCTTGTCAGATAGAGAAGATGTAAAGGCCAGAAACATTCAGCAGTTTTTTAAAGAGAAATTCAGAGGACAAGGATAAAAGGAACAAGATGTGCTGTTTAAATCTAGGGCAACCTTTAATATGCCTGTAACAACAGACTAGGCTTTTATCTAGAATGCAGGTAGATTGTGTCACTTCAGAAGCCAACTCTGACTTTCAGCTTGGTCGCCCAGCTGTGCCAGTGGATTTGCCATTTCTTTCAGGGATGAAGAGCTTCTGTGGTAGAAAGGGAAAAATTCAAGCCCAGTTTCATCCACCCAATTTGTAACATTGGTGGGAAAGCCTTCATTTCATTTGGAAAGTCATCCTCAGGGAATTATCCATTGTTTTATTACTGGCCCTCAATCCTCAAGCAAGAGATCCATCTGTGCAATCTTTGTTGATTTTAACTTGTAAATTTTAACGCTAGTTGGCCTAAATGTATCTTAGGTAGAGAATATTTACAAAGCCATAGGCAAATGCGAAGTATTATGTTAATGTCAACTAGTTATTGCTATGTAACAAACCAGCTGGAACTCGAGTGCCTTAAAACAGCAACTAGTTATTGTTTCTTATAAATCTGTGTTAATTGAGGGTCAGTTGATCTAGCCTGAACTCAGCTGGGTAGTTCACTCCATGTGTCCCTCATCTTTTCATGGGACCAAATTGCTGCCCTGGGCATGTTCTTATGTTGAAGGGGGAGGTTCAAGGGGATAAGTGGAAACATGCAAGGCCTCTTGGACCCTGGGCTCTGTCTCTTGTCTAATTCTGCTGATCGAAGCAAGTCACATACCTGAACTCAAGGGCAAGAAATTATGTGTCACCAGTATTATGTGGCAAACTATATGGATGCAAGGGTTGGTGAAGAAAGGGACTGTTAATGGAAATTCTCTACAGGTGCAGACCAGAATTAAGCTCTAAAATGATACCTAATTCAGACGTGTCAGAGAAAGTGAAAAGAGAATAGTTTCAGGGAAAGATGATGTTGATTAGAGTCAATCATGCAGAGTCTAATAGGGTATTTAGAGAATTTGTTCCTTACCCTAAGAACAGTGTGAAACCACTGAATGGATTGATATGATCAGATGGATATAGGGTAGACATGAGATTTAGATGAGAGTGGACTCTAGCAGAACAATTAGAATATTCAGATATGAGAGGTTGGAGGGTTAGGCTCTGTTGAAGGCAGTGGAGTTAGAAAGAAATATCTCAGTTCAGGATATTATTAGGAGATACCACCACCTAGCATTTGTGAATAATAGACCACAAGGGGTGAGGGGGAGGAAGTTGTCAAGAATGACTTCCAAGCTTTTGGCTTGCACTGTTGGGTAGCAGAGGGCTCCATTCACTGATATAGGCAACCTTGGAGGGGAGAAAGGGATGTGGGTGGGTGGGATGAAAGTTTGAACATGTTGAACTTGAGGACCTATGTAACATTTGAGTAGAGACTGTGAGTGGGTAGTTAACTAGAGAAGGTATAATGGATGGAGATCTATATCTGAGAGTCTTTAATCAAGGAATGCTTCCTAGACCACGTAAAGTCTGTCCAGCTTTGCATGTAACGTGGAATTAGTAGACCCAGAGGCTAATTGATGGGGTGCACCAAACTATTTGCAAAAGCTGATGTGCAGGTAACTATTACTGTGTACCTGCAGAATCTTTGTGAGGCAGTAACAGAAATAGTCTTCAGTGATTCAAAGGGAAAACTTGGTCAGAGGGCTTGAGGCCTTATAAAGGGTGAGTTTCAATATGTCACCATCACATACAAAGTAGTGAAAAGTTACAGAGAGTCACAACAGGTAATCAAAGATGAAGTATTTTGGACACCTTGCTATATGGTGATGACCCAGAATTATTCAACATTGTTTCTTCAGGACTTAGTACAGTACTTGGCATGTAGTAGGCAATGTTTGAATGAATAAATGAAAGAGTAAGTTACTATAAACTACTCATATGTTTAATAAATATTCAAGCATTACTAGTAAAATAATTTTGCATCAGCCACAGGCCCCTCAGTCTGTAGCTTTTTAAACCAAAAAATTCACTGACAGCATGAGTTTTTGGTAAATAGCTAGCCATTTTTGGCACAAAGATCCTCTGCCTGCCTGTCTTTTGCGCTCTCTCTCATTCCTGTCATTTGTTCTAGGACTACTTCCCAGGCCATGCTGTCAGACAGTGTAAGGTAAAGGGCTCTTCACATGAGACCCTGTTGCCCATTGAGGGAACTGAGGGGCCCTCACCTCCAAAAACTTATTGAAACTTTATTTAAAACATACTTTAACTTGGGCTTTTACTATGCCTTTGAAATGATATAAACCAGGGTCTAGCAAACTATGGCAGAAATTCAACCCACCACCTGTTTTTGTAAATAAAGTTGTATTGGAGCACAGCCACACATATTCATTTAAATACTGTCCATGACTGCTTTCACACTGTAACCACAGAATTGAGTAGCCACTACAGGGAACATATGGCTCACAAAGCCTAAAATATTTACTGTCTAGCACTTTATAAAAAAAAGGTTTGCTGACCCTGGTATATTCAGTTAAGAAATGCTTGCTTCTGTGGCCATCAGTCAATCATAGCAGTGTTTTCTTTGCTTGTAGCCCTTTTGAAAAACTAATTTTTCTTTTATTACAAATTCTTAGCACATAGCCTGACAATTGGGCAGGCTATGTAAGTGAGAAGGGCCCAATCCACTCTCGGTTCTGAAATAAGCTCAGTGTTAGGACTTGGATTCCAAGCTTTTCTTTATGGAATTTCTTTCTCACTGTTGTTTCCTCTGTCTGTGTGTAACATTCCAGTGAATTCACACTCACTTCAGACTCTTTCTCCTGTCACTAAAATATACCTCCTGGAAAACAGTCTTTGCAATTTATTCTTACTAAAGTGTGAAGGACTTCAAGTTTAAGGCATATCTACACTCATCTTTCCAAGTAGAGGAGTATATTTATCCCCTTTGGAGTTTCCCTATACCTCATAAATGCCTCCATCATAGTATCTAAAACAAATGTGTTTCTCTGACATCCATCTCCTTTCAGAAACAAGACCTTTCTGAGGGCAGAGACCACTTACTTTACACTTCGTCTCAATAGCCATTACTCAGCTAGAGTCTGTCTCCAAAATATTTATTGAAGAAAAGGATGGATGGAAAGATGACAGCCAGGGGTGGCAGGCTGCTTGGCTTACAGTGTTCCTTACCTGTCCCTGGTGTATTTGAATTTGGACAGAGGATATGACTTGAAGCCAAGCAATAAAACCATGTTACTGGAATTTTAAACATCATGAAACAATGTTTAAACATTGTAAAACAATGGGGGAGATTTTGTGGACAGGCACACTTTCCTCACACCACTTAAAATCAGTCTTCCCAGAAAACTGTCTATCCCACCTAATTTTTCAATGAGCCTTGAAACTGAGAAGGAAAATGAACATACTACATTTATGAGAACAGACTAACCTTCCAGTGCTGAAAAGTAATCAGAAAAAAAACTAAATAGATCCAAAACATGAAAAACCAAATGACAAGGAAGAGACCCGACAAAAATACTGAATGCCAGTAAAGTATCTGGAGAGTCATCTAAAGCCAGTTCCATCTGGAATTGCCCTTAGCAAGGGCAGCACAACATAATATTAAGAGTTATTGGAATCAAACTCCCTGGATTTGAATCCTGTATTTACTTCTGTCTGGCAGCATGACCTTGGGCAAGTCTCTGAACAACTCAAAACCTCAAAGTATTCATCTGTTGAAAGTCACTCAGTAGTGTCCAACTTTTTGCGACCTCATGGACTGTAGCCCACCTGGCTCTGCCCAACCCAGGGATCCAACCCAGGTCTCCTGCATTGCAGGCAGATTTTTTATCACCTGAGCCACCAGGGAAGCCCTGTGGCTTCCCTCATCTGTTGAGTGGAGATGCAAATGCAACTGACGCTTCAACCGCACAGGGGTTCAGGACACTGACCCTCTGTGCAGTCCAAAATCCACATATAACTTTATTGTCAGTGCTCCTTATCTGAGGTTCAGTAGTCAGTGGATTCAACCATCCACAGATGGTGTAAGTACTGTAGTATTTCATGAAAAAAAAAAAATCTGCGTGTAAGTGGACCTGCTCAGTTCAAACCTGTGTTGTTCAACTATAGTACCCATCTAATAAGCTTTTGATATGATAAGCAGTATAACTCAAATTTACCTTTTTTAAGAAACTGGGTCATTCATTCATTCATTTGGCACTCCCTGTATGCAGATCACTGACTTACTCTTTCTAAAATATTCTGACCCCAGAGTGAAATGATAAATCACAGGAAGTTCATCTGATGTGTCTAAACATTAAATTCAATATAATGTTAAATCCTCCCCAGACTTTTACTTAAAACCTGTTGTATAGCTAGCACTGTCCCAGCCGTTAAGTGTGAAATCTTGGGAGAAAGTTACTCACTACCAATTATTAGATGGCATGTTGGTTGTTTAATCACTGTTTGCATTTGTTGGTTTGGGGTTTTTTTACATGTACATGCTGCTTTGTCTTTGACTGCACTGGGTCTTCTTTGCTGCACACAGGCTTTCTCGAGTTGCAGTGTGCAGGTTCCTCATCGCGGTGGCTTCTTTTGTTGCAGAGCACAGGCTCTAAGTGCGCAGGCTTTAGTAGTTGCTGTAAATCTCAGCCCTCCATAACATAT